CAGGGTTCACCAGTTCGGATCCCAGGTGTGGACATGGCACCGAGTGGCAAGCCATGCTGTGTTAGGCGTTCCACATATGAAGTAGAGGAAGATGGGCATGGATGTTAGCTCAGAGCCAGTCTTCCTCAGCAAAAAGAGGAGGATTGGCAGATGTTAGCTCAGGGCTAATCTTCCTTGGATTAAAAGAAAAAATAGATCTACAGAGTCCATGTGGTGTTTTGCACACATTTAATGACTCAGAACCCCTGTAAAATTATAGTTGTCAAACGTGGCTACATATTATGATCATGTGTGAAGCATTTAAAAAATGTATAGATCCTTGGCTTTGCCTCAGACCTACTGAATCAGAATCTTCAGATTTAGGATCCATTGATTTTTATTTAAAAAGGAAAAAGAAAACTTCCAGCCTTCTGATTTACAGGTAGCTTGGGGGCCACTACCCTAAAAACATGGGTTTTTGAGAGAGAGAGGTTAATAATCCACAGCCCTCCGGTTTGTCGAGGTGAGGTTGCGGGGATGGGAGGACTGCCCCCAGGATACAGAGCAAGTCTAGGTGGTGTCAGGCTCGTCTCTTTGGAACTCATCCTGCCAAGTTCAAACAGATGAGAAGCCTCCAGTCTCCCTTTAGGAGGCTCCAGAAATGCACACTACCAGATTACAGTTTGCTGACTGTGTCAGCTTTCCTTGGTTTTATAACATTTGCCCAGTTTTACTCAAAGAGGTTTTGTTTTTTTATCCTGTACTTTTCAGATGCATCTCCATCTCATTAAAGATGATGGAGCTCTGTGAGATTAAGTAAACCTAAGAGAATGCTAAGGTAATAGAAAGTGATCCTCTTCACACCTCTCTCCGTAAATTTCCCATTTTGCAGACAAGAAAATTAAAGTATAGTAAAATAAAATAACTCAGGGTTTATGTGGCAAATAAGTAGCAAAACCTAGGATTCCTACCTGGTCTACCTACTTCCGTTCTTATTCCACTACAGTAAATTCTCGACTCCAGTAGCCAAAGCAGTGTTGTTTGTTTGTTTTTAATACACTTTTTATTATAAAACAGTTTTAGATTTACAGAAAAATTGTGAAGCTAGTACAGGGAATTTCCATATAACGCATACTCAGTTTCCCCTGTTATTAACACCTTACATTAGTATGGCATGTTTGTTGCAATTAATGAGCCAATAATTGATACATTTACTAAAGCCCATACTTTATTCAGATGTCATTAGTTTTTACCTAATGTCCTTTTTCTGTTCCAGGATTCCATCCAGGACACCACAGTACATTTAGTTGTCATGTCTCCTTAGGCTCCTCTTCACTGTGACAGTTTCTCTGACTTTCCTTATTTTTGATGACCTTGACAATTTTGAAGAGTCCTAGTCAAAAATGGTAGAATGTCCCTTAGTTGAGATTCGTCTTATGTTTTTCTCATGATTAGACTGGGGTTATGGGTTTTGAGAAAGAAGAGGTAAGTGCTGTTTTTTTCACATCGTATCAAGGGTACTTAGTCTCAACATCATTTGTCACTGTTGATGCTGACCTTGATCACCTGGCTAAAGGAGTGTTTGTCTGGTTTCTCCAACATAAAGTTAGTTTTTCCTCCCTTTCCACACTGTCTTCTTTTGAAGACGTCACTGTGGACGGGCCACACTAAAGGAATGAGAAGTTAGGCTACACTTCCTCGAGGGTGGGGTATTTACCTACATTATTTGGAATTGATTCTGTATTTCCCTGGTCAAAACCCTGCAGTGGCTTCACACCACATTCAGAATGAAATGGAAACTCTTCTCCGTGGCTGAAAGGCCCCATGTTATCTGGGCCCTAGCCTCATCTCCCAGCTTATGGGTACCGCTCTTACCATAGCTACTGCACTCCATCAACGCTGACCTGAACAAACCAAGCTGGAGCACCACAGGCCTCGGCCTCTGCCCTTCTGCCCAGCACACTTGTCCCTCAGGCCTTCACCTGGTTTGCTTCCTCACTTCACTGAGTCTCTGAAAGCCCTTTCATAACCACCTCGTGTAAAAAGTCTTCTGTCTCAGCTCACTCGGTTTCATTACCCTTTACTTCTTCATCGCATTTATCACTACTGTTTTTTGTGTGTGTGTGTGTGTGTATATATTTTTTGGGGGGGGGTTCTTATCTTTCTCTACCAGCATAATATGAACTACATGAGGGTAGGGGCTCTGTCTTATTCACTAATGCATCCCTAGTTCCTAGAACAAAACCTAGCACACAGTAGGTGCTCAGGGAATGTTTGTCGAATAAATGAATGAATGAACTGTTTAATTTTTGAAAGAAATCATCTTTAGGTCTCTTCTGGCCAAAATATTCTAGGTCTTTGTGAACTAATAATTCCCTGTCTGTCTTCTTCCCTTCAGTGTCCTGAAGGCATTTTAGGAGGGAATACTTGGCTTTCTTTTTTTTTTTTTAAGGAGAATTGTGGTATTTAAGACAGTAAATAAATAAAACCCTAAGTTTCTCTGTTAATATGCACTTAACTATGATTAAAGTTGGATTGGGTGAAATGAGCCATCATTTACACTTAGACTGGGGGCTCTCCCTGTTGTGACGTCCAGGGAGAGCAGCGAGGGTGCGGGTGCTTCAGGGAGAACTGCTGCCTCAGGATTTGAATTTTCCTCCACCCTCCCTTCCTTGCATTTGAGTAACAATGCTTCTCGGTGCCAAAGAATCTTGCCTCATTAGAAATTGCTGTTAATACTCTTGATTCCTGTATTAACCTCCTGTTTGAAAGATGCCTCAGCATTTCAGTCAGACACTCAGAACTGAAAAGATTGTTTAGAAATTCCTAGTGAAATGCTATAGGATTTTTGTTTGCTATCATATGAAGCAGATTCCTTTCAGGGCTCATTTTCTCAGCGATAATTTTCCCTGGTCCCACTGAAATAAGGAGCCATTAGTTTTAACTCCAGTTTTCAGGAATTGGAAATGTATTATTCATAGCAGGTTCAGTCTCAGGCAAGCCATTTCTCTGAGGCTCAACTCAAACTCTCACAAGACTCTGAATCGAATATAGAAAATTTGCTTAATTAGCTGCTGGTCCGCTCTTCTCTGGAAGAAGAAAACTCGCCCTTTTTTTCCTTTTAAGAAAGAAAAATATTTGGTAATTTGGTAAAAAGCCTCCCACCCAGATTTTCTATGCAGTTTTGTCCCTGTTTGTTTAGGAAATGCCATATGAAAAGAATTGCTTGTTGCATCTTCAACCTCTAGACAGGAAACAAGATTTGTCCTTCATCATAGGTCATGTTTTAGGCTGAACCAAGAATGTGCAGAATGAAGCACAGCCACGGCAGAGCTTTCATTGAGAGCTTCCGTTCTGGTTAGTCAAAAAAAGGGAAACGTCACCTATTCATCCATTTTCCTAGTTGGTGTTGATTGGCTTCCATATTCTTAAAGGAGGTAACAAGGGTCAGAAACATCAGTGGATATGCAAATCAAAACCACAAGTGATTTCGCCAGAGAAGGTGTACAAATAGCCAATAAGCATGTGAAACATATTAGCCATTGGGGATATGCAAGTTGAATCCATAGTGAGATACCACTTCACACCCACTAGGATGACTATGATCAAAAAGTTGGACAATAACAAGTGTTGACAAGGATATGGAAAAAATGGAATCCTCATTCATTGCTGGTAGGAATGTAAAATAGTGCAGCCACTTAGGAAAACAGGAAGGCAGTTACTGTATGACCCAGCAATTTGACCTCTAGGTATATACCCATGAGAAATGAAAACATCTCTGCAAAAAAACTTGTCCACAAATATTCATAGCAGCATTATTCAAAATAGCCAAAAAATGGGTACAACCCAAATGTCCATCAACTGTTGAGTGGATAAACAAAATGTTGTGTATCCATATAATGGAATATTATTCAGCTATAAAAAGTAACGAAGTATTGATACAAGCTACAACATGGATGAACCCTGAAAACATTTTGCTAAGTGGAAGACTCCAGACGTAAAAGACCACATATTGTATGATTCTATTTATATGAAATATCCAGAGTAGGCAAATCCATAGAGACAGAAAGTAGATTAGCAGTTGTAGCAGTTTTCAGAGTCAGGGAGGGGCATGGGAAGTGACTGCTAATGAGTGTGGGTTTTCTTTTTGGGGTGATGAAATTGCTCTGGATTTGGATACTGGTGATGGTCTCACAACCTCTTAAATGTAGTAGAAATCACTGAACTGTACATTTTAAAAGCCTGGATTTTATGGTATACATTATATCTCAATTTTTTTTAAAACCCACAATTAACTACTTCGTGCTCACTAGAATGATTAAAACCAAAAAGAAAATGACAAGTGTTGATGAAGATGTGGAGAAATTGGAACCTTCATTCGTTGTTGGTGGGATTGTAAAATGGTACAGCCACTTTGGAAAATGGTTTGACACTTCCTCCAGATGTCAAATTGAGAGTTACCATGTAACTCAGGAATTCCATTCCTAGGTACTTACCCAAAAGAAGTGAAAACACATATCAACACAAAGCCTTGTAAGTGAAAGTTCATAGCAGCATCATTTGTAATAGCCAAAAGCTGCAAACAATGGAATACTATTCAGCAATGAAAAGGAAGGAACTCCTGATTCATGGAGCAACATGGATGAGCCTCGGAAACATCACACAAAGACTACATGTTGCATGATTCCATTTTTATGAAGTTTCTAGAAAAGACAAACTATAGACAGAAAGTAGATCAGTGGTTGCCTGTACTGTGGTTGGGGATGGGAGTGGCCGTTGACTATAAACTGGCATAAGGGAATTTTTTGTGGTGATGGAAAATGTTCTAAAACTGGACTGTGGTGATTGGTTGCACAACTGTTTAAATTTACTAAGATTCATTGAATTGTATGCTTAAAGTGGGTGGATTTTATGGTATGTAAATTATACCTCAAAAATCTGTTTTAAAAAAGTAAACAGTCAGTCTAGGACTCTGGATGTATTTTAATCAGGAAAAAAAACTTTCTTTCTCCTCACTGTAGACCCGACCTCCCACTGACTTGAGCTTTAACTTTGATGCCAACAAACAACAAAGACAGCTTATTGCAGAACTGGAAAACAAAAACAGGTAAGAATACAGAGATCGAGCCAGTTTCTAAAGTCCAAGATTATCACGTGAGTATCTGATTCTCATGTTCCTTGCAGACTAGCGGGCTTTTGACCACAAAGGAAGATCCCACCTCAGTGAATATAGGCCAGACCAAATCCAGTAAATGCCCCGGACACTAATTTATATATCTCTGCATGCTGTTCCTTTTGGTAGTGCAAAACCCTGCTCATGTGCTCTCAGGTAGATTCTTTCTCCCACCCACCAGTTCCCCTCTCAAGATTCCTTTCTCCACTCTACTCCCAGGAGCCTTTTGCTCTATCTAGTCACCTTGTTCTGTCCCATTATGCTGCATGTGACTGTTCAGTCTCTCACTAAAAAGCCATTTAAAGGCATGGAGACCAGACAACACACCATCATACACTGAAAGCTAGAAACCAGGACAAAGAGATTGGACATAATGTAACAGACATAGGTAGAAGAAATGGCAGCCATCGTCACTCGGGGCGGGGGGGTCAAGGGGAAGAAGGGAGACAGAGGAAGACTTGGGGGCAGTTAGCGTAGGACCTGCATTAGGAGGTTGCATGGAGTTCTCTTTTCCTTTCCCCAGAGAGGAACAGAGTATTCTAGTTGTTGTTTTAATTTTGTGGAGATTTTCCAAGTTCTTGAGTATTTTTATGACTTTTCTACCACAAAGGATTGTTTCATTGAGGAAATGTCAAGTGCAGCCGTATTAAGAAGGAGTCCATTTCATATCCTGGTCATTTGGAACAATCAGAACAGGATTGATAGAGACGGCACTACTAGAGTGCAAACTTAACAGGAAAAACACAGCGAGCTCTGAAGCACTGTGTGGCCATCTTCCTTTCACCCATCCTCTCTAGAGAGATCCTGCAGGAGATTCAGCGTCTCCGTCTGGAGCATGAGCAGGCTTCCCAGCCCACCCCTGAGAAGGCCCAGCAGAACCCCACGTTGCTGGCAGAGCTGCGGCTGCTGAGGTGAGTAGGGAGACTGCACCACTGTCCCCACATTGTAATCTGCTGCAGTAGACATTTATGTCTCAGGAAACCAAACTAGTGGGATAGAATCTGTTTATCGGTATAACTAGTCATGTGAGAACCAACAGCTAAAGCCTTCCAGTCGTTCCATTGCTGCTTCAGATGTTTGGGTTCCTTTATTAATCAGTCTGAGAAGTGCTGCCTTCATTACAGAACTAGGTAAACACCAGTCTCCAGCTCCATGACAAGCGGAGTAGTGTTTATACTTTTGTGATTGCTTTAAGAAGACCATTGTGCTACACGCAGTCTTCTTATCTTGCTAATTAGTCTGACTTGAGAGGCTCTTGGGAGGAATAATCTTCTCTCTGACCTATGAGTATACTCTCCTGGTGCTTCATAGTCAGAGCAGGACTCTGTTGAAGAAAAAGGGTGCTTCTTGTACGTGTCCTCCTCGACATGAAAGCACGTGGGAATCCCTTGCACCAGGTGTGGTGCCTTCCCACTTCAACATAAATCTAAACTGTCTGAAGGATCGAGAGACCAAGGACATGGGATCAGAGTGAGGGTAGAGAGCAGCCTCAGTTCCCACGCTGATGCTGTTTTGGAGGCAAGGAGAACTCTTCCAGAAGGGTGTAACACGAGAGTGATGTGATCAAAGTTATTAGACTCTTTTTTCCTATAAATCTTAGAAAGAGTCAGTGACTTGATTCTCCCCAGACCTCCAGATTTCCAAATAGTGAGTTCTTTCTGTTTAGGTTGTAACATCTGACATTCCACAGTTGATTTTTAACATGCTGTCATCTGGGATTCTGCATAGCTGAATATCCTTTTTTAGTTCTTCTTTTGGCTTAGATCATTTAACTTCTCAACTATGATTTCTTTTCCTAGAGAATGGAGATAATTGTTTTTCTGTAATGGTGATCCTGTGTAGATTTATAATATCAATAAATAAGTCATAAAGAATTTAAACTGTGCAGAAGAAAATTGTTAGAGATATAGAGATTCCCATTCTCCTAAAAATTCATTTTAGTTTCTAAATTTAGTTGGGCTGAGATTTGGGTTGCTGTGCAGCCCACTGTTGCATATTTGGGACATTAGCACAGTTGGTGTTACACTAGGAAGGAGGGGAAGACAAATGGTGCTGTCTCAGACGAGTATAACTCTGAGCTATCAGCATAAGATACAACTGTTTTCTTTCTCCACCACAGCTCAGGCACAAGTGACTATTTTGTATCTGGAAGAGCAAAAAACTGTCACACTTGAGTGTAACTGTTGCTGGAACTGGGAATGCTAAGTGCTTAGTTAAGCTGGAGGGATCTGAAAAATATCATAGAGTTAGTAGGCAAAGGGCTGGATCTGGGGATGTCACATAAGGCAGTAAAAGCAGGAATTTAAGTCTGAGGAAGGTCTAAATCCTGAGAAATCAGAAAATATTTAATCTCAAAAGCAGCTGCTACATCACTGAAAAAATAAGGACTATTTAATAAGTGTGCTGGATCAAATGGTTATGCATATGGGCAAAAATAGTGCCTCTCTACCTCGCATGATATATAAAAAACACTACCAGATGGATTAAACATAGAGACAAACTTTAAAACTTCTGGAAGGAAATGTAGGAGAATTTCCTTAGGATTTTGGAATAGAAAATAATTCTCTCAGAATTACTAACTGTAAAAGAAGTTGGTAAATTCGTCTATATTAATATTAAGAACTTTTGTTTATCAAAAAACACATAAAGGGCAACATTTATTTGTAGGTATCTGACACCCTTCTGGTTTTGATCAATATATGTGAATCCAGGAACTGTCAATACTCAGCTAGAATAATAAAACAAGATAGAGAATTTCATCCTTAGGATTAGTGATTATGAATCCTGACCAGTGGGGTTGTCTTTTCCCCCTTTATTATTAATTTTAATGGTATATTTGTTACGATAATATATATGACAAATGTGTTAGATATGAAGCATAATGATAAAATGAGCACCCATGAACCCACATTCTACTTGAGGACTCACGTGTTGCTAGAACCATCTGGAGAAGTGCCCCCTTGTCCCATCTCCTTGTCTCCACCTTCCCCACAGAGCTGACCTCATCCAGAATTTGGTTTGTCATTCCTTTGCTTTTTAAACAGTATTACTTAATATATGCGTATTCCCACATAATAAAGTGTTTAGTTTTGCTTTTGTTTTTTGCGCTTTATAGAAATGTTATTATATTCTGTCTCCTGGAACTTTTCCCCCCTCAATATTACTCCTTAAGATCCTTCCTTGTTGTTGCATATAGCTAGCTGTAGTTCATGCATCTCCACCATTACAATTATTTGGTCGTGCACAGCACAGAGAAAGAGTACTGCATCCAGTCTTGGGAGTTCAGGGAAGAAAATATATGTATGAATATATGAAGAAAATATATATGTAGGCTAGAAGCAGTTAGACCCATGGAGGTGGTGTAAGTTGAGCTAGACCATGACGAGTAGGTCTGATTTGGATGGAGTGTGGGACAACGTTTCAGATTAGAAGTGGAACTAGGGTTCAGCATGATCCCTTAAATAAGTAGAACACATTTGAGAGATGGGAAGGAGTCTTAGAGCTAAGGATTTGTTTTCAGTCACCCATTGAGTCAATCTTTAGCGTACCAGTGATAAAGGAGATAACATTAGTTAGATAATTGAGTCTAGATTCTGGAGAGCCTTAAGTGATAGGTCATTGGAAATCCTTGGAGGGTTTCAGATGATGATTTTATTACGTTCACTAGATATAAATTGAGTACATACTGGATGTGTGATATTCTCTTTATCATTCAGTACTTGCGAAGATGAGTAAGATTCATCCCCTGAACTGAAGGATTTTGCATCGTGGTAGGAATGACAGCAGTGTAAGGTAAAATAAATTAAGTGCCCCAAGAAGCACCAGTTGCTATAGTGATTAATTAAGCAGGACCTGATGCCTGCTGAAGTAATCAGGAGCAGCTTCCTAGAAAGAATGACATTTGGAATGGACATTAGAGTGAATAACATTTGGAAGAGAGGGGAGAATAACTATGAATCATAAAATGATGGGGTCTGTTTAGGGAAAAGTAAACCATTGGCTGGAGGTCCAGACATGAAAGGGAATAAGAGGTGAGGTACTAAGGACAGGAATGTAGGTGGGATCTGGAGCAGCGCTGTCCGATAGAAATATAATGTGAGCCCCGTATGTAATTAAAAGTTTTCTAACAACCACATTGAAAAACCAAAAGGAAATAGGTGTCATTGATTTTAATGCTGTCTTTTACTTAACCTGATGTATCCAAAATATTATCGTTTCAACATTAAAAAATTATTAATGAGATATTTAACTTTCATTCTTTCACACTAGGTTTTTGATATCCAGTGTGTATGTTACACTTACACCACATCTCAATTCAGACTAGCTTCGTTTCAAGTGCTCAGTAGTCACGTGTGGCCAGTGGCTGCCATACTGGACAGCAGAGGTCTAGACCATGCAGGGCAAGAGTCAGTGATTCTAGAAATTCTGTTGTTGACGTTATTACATAGGATGACAAAATGAACACTTTACAATGATCCTTTGAGCATCATTGTAAAGTTCACAGAACACTTCCGTATCCATTATCTTATTTGATCCTCAAAATATTGCTGTTGTTATTTGCTATCAGTCCCATTTTAAAGAAAAGAAAATTGAGGCTCAGGTTAAGTGACTTGTCCGAGGTTGCATAGTGAGTAAATGGTGGGCCTCAAGTTTCTTGATTTATATTCCAGTGCTTTTTCCTCACCATAACAGATGAAATCAGTATTAATCAAGCTAGGAGACAATTGCATGTGTGAGGTAAGGAGCACTTGGATAAAGGGAGAGATGTGGGAATAGAAAGACACAACTTTCCAAGAGAGAATCATCTGAATTGGGTGACTGATTGAATATAGGATATAAACAGGGAAGTATCAGAAAGGGCTAAGTTTTTCAGCTATGACATATGGAGGAAAAAGTGGCAGAGATAGAGAAATTGGAAAAGAGAATCCTTTGGGGAGGAAAGTCTTAAGTTTGGTTTTGGACATACTGAGCTAGAGTTGATGTGAAATCCGTCCTCGGGGAAAAGTGAATTCTCTCAGACACAGAGTCATCGTGACGTCTGTCACACTTCTTGAACCTCATGTCTGGTGCTAGAAGCACTGGCTACTGAACCCTATTTTCCCTGAGCAGTTTTTGTGTATTTTCTCCACTATTAACTTAAATTTGGACTGGTTTTATGTATTTTTCTAAGTGAAGTATTGAACTTCCTGAAGAAGAATTTTTAAAATCACTTTAATGGTATTAATAATACTTTTTCTCTCTGTGGCCATGTATACTTTCCAAAGCATTTTTGCATGCTATTCTCAGAACATAAAGAAAGTTGGGCAAAAGAGATATTAGGACCACTTTATACATAGGGTATTGGAGCTTAAATGACTTGCTCAGCATCTCTTACACTGGTAATTAGCAGAATGAGACCTAAGACCCATTTCACCTGGCTTTAGACCCTTCTTTGAGGGTCCCTTTATCTTCAAAGTTTCATTTTTGATGGGCTTTTCCTGTCGGATAGGCAAAGGAAAGATGAACTGGAGCAGAGAATGTCGGCACTGCAGGAGAGCAGGCGGGAGCTGATGGTCCAGCTGGAAGGGCTGATGAAGCTGCTGAAGGTAAGAGCCCTGGCCAACTCTCGGGTCTCCTCCTCCCACCACCCAGCTGTTCTCGTTTGTATTCCACCACCAGTTCAGCTTCTGCCTCCCCTGTGATGTTGGAACAGGATATGACTAAAGGCTTAAATAGTGCTACCTAGACCGGGTTTTCAGGTAAACCTCCATAAAGTTAGCCTAATTTGGTACAAAAGCCATCTAAATTAGTGTAAAGCCTGATTATAAAAAAACTAATAACTAGAACTAGAGTAATGTCCTTGAATAGTCGCTTTTATGAATAAATAAAAATGTTTAGAAATAGGATATTAGCTATGTATATATGAATATTTCTCAACTATTTAAAGTTTCTTTTAAGGCAAGTTTTCAGATATTCTCCCTAAATATTTAACAAATATTAAGTGTCTTATTTTAATAAGTATTACAGAGGCAAACCAACCTAATCAATAACTCTATTAGGAGGAATAAAATAGCATTATTAGCTCTAGGTTTTGTATATTAGGGCTTGAATAAATCAGGAATAATTCAGGTCTCACTATCTATTTTTGTTGAAAAATATATTACAGCCCCTACACTCCAGAGCAGAGAAAGGCATGCTTGGTGTTTAAATGTCCTCACCTGGACAATTTTACTGGCATTGCACACTATTTAGCCAGCTGTGGAGCAGCAATAGCAGAGCACCTTTGTCCGTGCTGTTAATTCCTGGGACATTTTTGTCGATGATGCGAAACCACCGTACTTTGTAGTATGACACAGAGTTCTCAGCCAGAGTGGAAATAAGAGCCAGGCTGAGGGGCTGGATTTAATCCTGTGGTAAAGGGGAGACATTGAAGGTTTTGAAAACAATAGTTTAGGGAAATAGGCAGAATAGGTTAAAAAGAGGAGAAACTAAAAGATTTTAGGAGACTCATGAAATCATCCAGGCCCAAAGGGACAAGGATCTCGGCTAGGAGTGGAGTCCAAGAAAATAGCAACGTTGAGACTTTTCTTCAACTTCTGCATTCTAAACCGGTCCCTTAATAACAAAGCTAGTGGGATTAGCAACTTGGGTAAATGTGGTGTTTGTGTTTTAAACTGACTTTTGACTTGCTCAAGACAATCACTTCTTTAACCTTGAGCTGAGTTTTTCCAGCTTGGCCCTGGATATTTGGGTTTTTTGCATGGATATGTTTCTGCATTAACCCTGTTAACAGGATTTCTTGTGAGAAATATCTTATGTCTAAATGGATCTTGTTTAAAGAAAACCTTATGCATAAAACCTGGCCCAGATCCCTCTAATAGTTTTCAGGTATCCTGCTAAGCAACCCATTCACCCACTCAAGACAGCAGAGATGTCCTTAAACACATTTGGCCTGTGTAACATCTGGAGCCACGTGGGGCTTTAAAAGTCCTGCCATGGTGGGGTTAGTTTACCTGTAGGACAGGAGATAGTAGAGGATCCACCCACCGCTTGCCTGTGTCAAACCTCCCTTTAAGAAAGATGCTCTCAAAACATTACTCAAACGTAGATGGGAAGGTACCCCAGGGTGATTTTTGAAAAAGGCAAAAGGTTTATGCAAACTCAAGGGAAGTCAGAGTGCATTTCCCCTAAGTACCACCGTGGGCTTTCCCGTCAGCTAGCTTGCCCTCCGTGTTCCTTCGAGTTCCTGCCTCAGAGCCCCACGTGAATTACCAGGGCCTTGTCGTTTACCTCTGACACTTGTATTCAACAGCTAAGCAGAATGAGCTGATGGCTGGAACTCTAATCCCAAACCTGGAGTTTCTTTGTATTTCCAGCTGTTGTCTTACAGTTACAATTTTAGTAAATAAGCAGAACCCTGCCTCCCCATTTTGCAGGATCCCCTGCCAGGTTCTTAAATGCCTTGTCATTCACCCACCTGACACCCTGAGGCCCTTCAGACTGGAAGAATTTGTGAACACAAACCAGGAATGTTGTCTTTTTATCCAGTGATTCGAATTCACAGTTGAAATCTCATGCTTTTAGTATCCACCTTAGAGGATTCAGCATAATCTTAATTTGTGTATTATATGCACTCCTGAAAGATCATACATAGGAATTATTGACTTCTATTAAAATTTCAAAGATGTTTTCCTACTATTAAAAAAATATCTTCACCAACCCATAATAAAAGTGCCCATAAGAATCCTAATTTTAATTTCAAAGGAGTGTCCCCTGCTTTCCTTGATGTTCGGTCTGCTAACGTTTAATTCTCTCATAAAACAGCTGTAAGCAGTTAGTCAAGTGGATAATCAAGCCACATGGTCTGGGATACTCACAAATTAAAATACACCACACAGTAAATTTCCGTTTTCATGGGGAGTTCTTTCATTTTGCTTCAGTGAAATATCATATACTTTGTGTATTTATCTGAAAATGGTAATTTAAAGAAGCATATATAGGAAGTGTCACCGTTGTTTATTAATTCATTCAACAAAAATCTTAAATCCTTTTTTTTAGACACAAAGCAGGGTAAAAATCATGTCCTTATTTAACAAAGAAGTATTGAGTTCCTGAGTGTCATGTTTAAGTATTTGGTGTATAATGGTGAATAAGATTCAGTCTCTGTCACCAAGGAGTATCAGGGACCTTCTAATTGTTGGGTTTTTGTTTGTTTGGTTGGTTTTGGGTTTTTTTAATGAGGAAGAGTCACCTTGAGCTAACATCTGTTGCCAATCTTCATCTTTTTTTTTTCTGCTTGAGGAAGATTAGCCCTGAGCTAACATCAGTGCCAGTCTTCCTCTATTTTGTATGTGGGATGCCTCCACAGCGTGGCTGATAAATGGAGTAGGTCTGCGCCTGGGATCCAAACCTGCAAACCTGGGCTGCTGAAGCGGAGCACGCACAACCATAACCACTCGGCCACGGGGCCAGCCCAAATTTTGGGGTTTTTTTTAATGATGTAATTGACTGATACTCAGGCATCCGTGTTTTAGCATGCATCTTTTTCTTACATTTTTTTTCCTGATTAATGAACATGTGGATAACCTCTGCCTCAAACTTTTTTAATCTGAAAATGGTTATGTGTTGGTGTTTCAGTTTCTAAATCATGTTCCCAATATTTTTCTGCCTCATTTTCCATTTTTCCAATATCGTTTTTGAAACACATTTGCCAGATGAATTCTGCAGTTTTGAATTTCAGCCTTATTTGCAAATGAGCTTTTGAATGTAAATTTTTATGGCGATGACTACAGTGGCTGTGGCCTTGCTTTGGCCACCTAGCCAGACATCCCCCATGTGGAAGAGTCTGCCATGTTTTCAGTTAACATAAGCAGTTCTAAATTTGCACTTTATGAGTAAGGTATTATTACCGCCTTTAAATCAAGCTGGCTTCTATGCTTTGTCGTCAGTTGATGTGTACTGATCCCAGCTGACTAATCAATAACAGAAAGATTCTAAAGATCTTATATCTGACCCATTTACTGTGTTGACAGAGCCTTTAAGGCTTGATCTGAATAACTTTCGTGAGTTTAAATTATACAGCACCATCCTGAGTAACACTTAGCCAGAGTCCACACTCTCCCATTCCCTGCGTATCGGAGGTCTCCAAGTCCTGAAAACGCTGCCCTGTCCACCTTCCCCACCTACCCTGACACGTGTGTCTACCGCACTTTATCATGATTTCATGTCTTTGGACAAACTATAGCAGAGTCACCAAATGTGCAAACGTGAAACATCGTTTTCTGAGATTTCCCTATTCTGTTGAACCAATACCAAACCTGAAGAGAACAGTGAAGTAGGAAGGTGTCTTAGAAACAGTTCTAAGAAATTACATCCTGGTCTTTTGACCTCAGATGCAATTTCAGCCTGTCGGGATTGCCCCATCCCTCCCCTACCATTTCAATTTCCATTTCAACACTTAGGGCTAGCGATGAAAACACATTTTTAAATTGTTTAATAACTCTTCCATGGCTGTTTGCCTGCTTAGTGAATGGAGGAAAAGTGTTAGGCCCCACAGGGAAGCCTGGCTAGGAAGGGTGATCGCTTCCCACCTGCAAAACTCTAACCCTTCCACCCGGAGCTATGCATGCAGATACAAAAGTGAAAAGGCACTGACTTCTTCAGGGTAACTCAGCTGATGCTCAGGGCCCTCTTTGCCTGGGCTCCTGTGCATTTAGGTTTGGTCAGGCATCTAGCAGCTGGCTTTGATTATGAAGAATATCTTCCTACACTGAGATGGAGTCTCCTCAAGAGATTTCTTGGTGCCCATGTACTTTCTAGTCCATGTCTCTCCCTTGCAGGAATAAAATTACTTTCTCCAAATTTTTACTTCCCTTCTCCCTTTTGTAATTTCCTAGCTTTTCTGAAATCATTCTCACCGTTGCACCCAGATCTGCAGACTGAGAAGTACTCATCCATTCTTAAGACTTCCTACACACATGTTCAGTAAAGACTGCCTGTGCGGATGGGTCCAATTTAAATAGAACCTTTGCAACAGCTTTTAGATTTGCCTACTTGGGGCAAAAAGCGGAGGCTCCATGACCACGGTTATTCATAAGGCACAGAAAGAGGAAGTGAAGAGACTCATTAAAACAGAGTAGCTGCGGAGCAAAGGGCCAAAGAGAGAGAAACTCGGAAGTGTTTATCTCATCTTCATCGTGCTGCTTTCTGCAGTGCCTGGTGGTGCGTTCTGATAGCTGACTGCACACCATCACTGTAAGGCTCTGAAAGACAGAGACCATATCTTGTCTTCGTGTTTCTAGTGCTTTATGCATAAGAAGTACTAAATGAAGCTGTATTGAATTAATGAAAACCTGAGGTCGAGAACTCGTTTTTGAAAGGCCTCTCAGGGGCCCTGAAGCAGTTTCCAGTTTATTGGAGGAATGGGGATGCCAGTGGATCCTTGGAAAAAAACGCAAAGCAGCCCAAAAGCAGTGAAGGGGAGGGGACTAAACAAGAGAATCTGTGGTCAGGTGGAATTGCTGATTGTTGGGAAGTTCTTAGAGCACTGGTTCTCCAACCAGCAGGCGTCAGAATCAGCTGAAAGGCTCATACTGCACCCCACCCAAGAGTTTTGTTTCAGTTCGTCTGGGGTGGGACCCAAAATTTGTGCCTCAACAGTTTCCACGTGATGCTGCTGCTGCTGCTGGTCTGTGTTCCACACTTTGAGAACCACTGGCTTAGAGAAATGCATATAAACACGTGTGAATGTTGTGAATGGTGAAATACAATGATTATTGGGCTTTTGAGTCATGGTTGAGCTGCTGCTTTCAGTTTACCCTAAATAGTTATGTGACCTTAGGCAAGCAGGCTCTCTAGGCCTTTTTCATCTATAAATGAGGAAGTTGGCCCAGCTGGTTTCTAAGCTTCTTTTCTTGCAACTCTAGAAGTTAGCACTTAATGAATTGCGTGGGGCAGAGGCCTACCCTTTGCCCTGTCCAGAGGATGATGTTCTGATGGTGATCAGGGCCTTTGATCTCTGAACCCATGGGCCTGGCCTGGTTTGCCCAATTCTTCTATCGTTTCTTCCAAATGTTTGTGGTGATGGGCATTAATCTCTCTCCTTTTTCCCTCTGCCTTTTTTTCATCTTCGACACCTCTAGGAGGAAGAGCAAAAGCAGGCAGTAAGTGAACTTCAGAATTCTCCACCCGACTCTGGCTCCTTTTGCATGTCCTTCTTTTCCTCATATAACTGTTATATACTTTCTCCTCTCTTCCCTGCACAAGTTCATCTCTGCAGAATTGGTTATGTGTAAAACCCTCAGCAGTGCTCTCCATGGTGTTTTAAAATGGCCTAAAAGTCCATGTCATGTTTATCTAGTAGAGCATGTTCTTATTTGAAACCAGAGCTTAAATTTTTTTTCAAAGTACACATCTGTTGTGTTTATTTAAATATGCATGATTAGCCAGGCTACAATTGCATTTTCCTGCTCTTGCATTCTCTGCTGCTATGTGTCTAAAGTGACTTCAATTGCTTGAAACAATTTTCAGGGTGGTGGGGGTGACCTCAGGTCTATATACTGTGTCATGAATGATTGTGCATGAAAATGAGTAGTTCTTTTGGTAACTTTGGATGTCCCTTAGTCTTGAACAGGCTTCTGGGTGCTCCAGCTCCAGTAGCCTTTGTAACAAAGTTACTGTTGAAAACTAAGTGACTGATTATGCTGTAAGTGATTTCCTGTTCAGAGCCCACTCCAGAGGGAGCTCTGGTTTTTCTGAGCTGCATGCCTGTTGCATGGTGTTTAGGGAAGGTTTATGTTTATTTTTATTTTTCCTGATAGCCTCAAACCTGCACAAGAAAATCAATTGAGGGCCTATGCACAATGGTAACACCATATGCTTATGTAACGAATAAGGTTTTCAAAGCATATATTTTTTACACAAGCTAAAGCTGATTTTTAATTTACCTCAGGGCTTTTTTTTAAAAAGAGAAAAATGAAATGTTTAATTCAAAAAATTTACTCATTTTTTCCCCCAAAACCAAATTTATCTGTGTTTTAGTTTAAGAATAGGAACATAAAACATTGTTATTTATTATTCCCGGTAGGAAAGCAATGGAATGATAGAATAAAGTGGAGAGGAGAGGCAGGAAGAGATAGATAATAAGGGGAGGAGGCAAGAGGAGTGAGGGAGAGGCGGACTCTAAGAAAGAGGGAAAGGAGTCTGGTGTTAGGATTGCTAACAACTCAGAAATCTCAGTGGCTTAAATGTAACAAGAGTTTGGTTTTGTTTTGGCTTTGTTTGCTTTTGTTTTTCTCCTCATTCACACATAGTTTATTGCTTTGATTTTTTTTTAATAGTTTTTGTTCATTCTTCCCTTTTTTTTTTTCTTCTCTCCAAAGCCCCCCAGTACATAGTTGTATATTCTAGTTGTGAGTGCCTCTGGTTGTGCTGTGTGGTATGCCGCCTCAGCATGGCCTGATGAGCAGTGTTAGGTCCGGGCCTAGGATCCCAACCAGCGAAACCCTGGGCCACTGAAGCAGAGCGTGTAAATTTAACCACTCGGCCACAGGGCAGCCCCTATTGCTTTGATTTTATAGCACTTCCATATCAATAGTTACATTCACATGGGCAAAGCAGAAGAAGCCCAGGATGGAAGGTCAAGCCCAGCCATTAAATGCTTCTATCAGGAGGTGATACACATCACTTCCGCTCCAATTCGTTAACCAAAGGAGGTTACATGACCACACTTAACTTCAAGGGGGCAGGGAAGTATAATCCTCCATTTGCTTAGAAGAAGCAGAGAAGCCGGTGCTGGTAATGCCTACCACAAGTAGGAGGATGAGTAAGATTGTGTTGGAGGGCAGGAGAGAGACCCTCTATCCCCCTGCTCCCTTCTCCCGCTCCTTCCCTGACAGTCTCATCCCCCTGCTGTTGACCCTTCCTGCTGGTCCAGGGCATCACCTCACCTGTAGTTGCTGACCACCAGCATTCCTCTCCTTCTCCTCACCCCTCTACACCTCGGAGATGTGCTTCACAGCTAAAACCACTTGCTGGGAACTTCCTCCCACAGTCCGCCCAGACTAGCTTTTTCTGAGCCCTCTCTGAATGTGCCAGCTCAGAGTGAAGCACGTCCACCCTACACCTCACCTGAGAACTCTCTTTCAGAAGAGGGCAGACATTATGGATATTCATTTTAATGGTGGCAGTAGTGCTTCGAAGAGACATTTTATTTTTTAAAAATCTTATGGATTATTGTATAATCCAAGAACCAGAAATCGCCTCTGCTGGTATATTATTTCTCAGATCACTTTGAAGGTGACCTTGAGCAGAAAGGGGATTGAATGACATGTTCCTTTCAGTGATCTTTGATTCTGTGCAAGATCATCACCCCCTTGAAGTTGGCAAAATGAGAAGCTAGATGCAGACTGCTGAATCCTGCCACTAATGAGTCACCTGTGTGCATGTCTCGGGCATTCTCCTTGGCCAAGGTTCTGAGCTTGTGAGCCAGTCCTTACAGACTCATAGGACATCCATGGCGTGAATTGGTACAAACTTTTTTCTTCATCTTTCCCTGCTATGGTATGAGGTAAGACATTCTGCTCTGTGAATGTAGGTAGAAATATCCTCTGTCCATATCACAGCTTTAAACTGGACCAACCTAAAGCTCAGCTCTGAGGCTCAAATTTGAACTGAATGGCTTTACATAGTTCAACAATATTTTTAACACGTACAGCTGAAAAGACTATAAAGCTTTAGAACTAGCCCTTCTGCTTTAATCTGTGTCATTACTGAGTGAGACACCAAAAGGTATTTAACACAAAGCTAAGTTGTAACCCTTTCTTCCTGGGTTCTGGCTGGTATAGTTTAATTTCTTTTCTATCAAAATGTATTACCATATATGGGTAATAAAATAATTGTAAAAGACTTTTAAAATGAAGAATTTATGGAGCTGGCCCCATGGCCGAGTGGTTAAGCTCGCACGCTCCACTGCAGGCGGCCCAGTGTTTCATTGGTTCAAATCCTAGGTGCTCATCAAACCACGCTGAGGCAGTGTCCCACATGCCACAACTAGAAGGACCCACAATGAAGAATATACAACTATGTACTGGGGGGCTTTGGGGAGAAAAAAGGAAAAAAATAAAATCTTTTTAAAAAAAATGAAGAATTTACTAGACATGCTTCTAAAAACTGGTTCTGTAAATCCATTTTAGAGAAATTTTCATATAGTCTGTCTTCTTCTTTCCCCCTGAGGGATAATTTTGGCTTAGGGGGAATTTGAGAGAAATGGGTAGTAACTGTGACTTTGTGAGCATTGGTGTTGTTTCTGCCTGCAGCCGCAGCCGCTTTTCCAGGGCTTTGAGTGGCGTTAGTGCCTCAACTGATAATTCTTCTGTTTTTCCTCTCTCCCTCCCTCTCTCCTTCCCTTCTCTTTTCTCAGACCCAAGGGTTATAATTAAGGGCAGAACTGCCTGGCTGTTTCAGATAAGACTTCACTGAGTGACTGTTCAACGCACGATATACCCTACAGTCTAACAGCCTCAGGAATTAGATTCTATCAGTTGAGTCAGGGTTAATCAGGCCCATGATAATCATCAGACTGTAATTAAAGGACGCCATCTGCCTTTTTCACACTGCAGCCCCAGCTGCCAGCCCAATGCCTGCCACACGGCAGATACTCAATAAATAGTTGCTAAATGAAAACCAGTATTAACCAAATTTACAAGGTTTTGACTTAAAAGCAGTGTGAATTCCTAATTGTAAGGGACGTAACTGGTTCGAGTACCTGTGGGAGTAATTTTGCTCAAGGTACTCCTGTGTAATAGGTAGATCCATTCAGGAGACTCGACGGTGGTTCAGAATTGTCCTTTACAGAAAGGAATCAGAAAGACAAATCTCAGTGTTACCAAAAGAATAAGAACACCAAGCTAATAAATTAGTATTATTATTAACTCTATTATTCTTTCTGTCTAAAGAACAGATACTGATTATGTGAAATAAAATCATCCTTTTTTTTTAAACGCAGATAATCTGTAAAATGCAGGATATCTACAGTTATTTGTAACACTTGAAAATATTTTGAGCATTGCTCAGTAAAACCCCAATGCCTGCAGTAAGAAATATGGTTATGGGATTTAGCAGCATGTTACGAAGGGGCACATGAGGGCAACAGACTGATGAGGACTCTGTGGCGGTGGGCTGTACCACCACTGGTATACTTGAGCTGTGGGCTACTCCAGTCTAGGTCCAACGGTATCCCAACCCTGGTCTGGAGGGATTTCAGATTGCGTAAATTCATTTTGGGGACATCTGAGGGTTCCATTTTCCCCAATGACTCAATATACCATAAAATTTCACTGCTGGGTCACTAACACCAAATAAGATGAGCTATCTAAGGCAAGGGGGTTCTGTTTCCTCATGAAGGATGTGTTTCCTTGAACCTTTCTCTGAATCCTCCCAGTAGAAGATCGTTACCTTTTATATCCAGATCAACATCAGACTTAAAGACTGTAACTTTAGACAGTAATCTCTAAGGACGGGGGCTCTCACAGGTATTACCTTTGACCCAGATTAGTAGTAGGGTGATGGTCCAGAGTGTCATTCTGAAAATTATGTAATCAGAGGAATCTTTGGAATTCTGCTAAGAGAACATTGCCATACTTGGGACCTCCCTTTTTACTTCACTCAGTAGGGATATCAGTTGGGATCTTGCCCTATGCCCTTTTCAATTTCTAGAACCAGGCAAATAACCCACTGCAAATACACCAAAGAAAGCATAGTGTGGGCTGGCTCTTGAAAGAAATGGTGGTCCCATCTCTGACCGCAGCTCCACCAAGTATGCCTCAGAGGAAGGGCACTCAATATTTAGTTAGCCATGGTTGAGCCATGAGGGCTCCAATAAAACTCAGGAATACTCACTTTGTAAGTTTAAGAGAAAGTATTAAAAAAACAAAACCTATACAACAGCAAATAAAAACCTCCTCTTTGTCCGTTAAAGAGATTATTGGTGAACCCCTTGTTGTGCTCATGGTTCATTTCCCCTCCTGGATCACTTAACCTTCGGACACAATCTCACTGGGAAGTGACTCAGATTCACATGCGTCTCAAATCTTCTAGACTCTCTGGCTCCACCATACTCTGAAATAGACACCTGAGTCTCCTTCCTCCTGGAAGGCAGAGAATT